ATGGTAATAGGAGTTGCTCTACTGGTGTTCTTGGTCTATAGGCCTGCGTTGCAGTTATAGTTTTCTTGGTCTATAAGATTCCCTTGCTAACCAATTGGAGTTTCTCTTGGTCTTTTTTGTTCTTTTCGCAAACTGTTCACCTACCATTTTAGTTCAGTAGAACAATTACAAGCGGTTTTATCTTAGTTTCTACTGCGCACTTATCACGCATTAGACGAGAAGAAGAAGATTCGATCGCTAGAACGGCTGAAGTCTTCTTCTTCTTCTTCTTCTTCTTCTTCTTCTTCTTCTTCTTCTTCTTCTTCTTCCCAATTACTTCCTGGGACTTGCATGTTTGCGTTTATTGGCAACGCATTAAAGAGTCATTTACTGCTCATTAATCAAGGATTAGACCTATAACTGCGAATTCCGTCAGACACTTGGGCTAGGCGACTCTGGCCGCTGGGCGGCCCTAAGATTTATTCCTACTGCTTTTTGTGTGCAGTTAATGCAATTTTTGTCTTATGAAATTTATGGACCGCCTTCTGAGCATGCTTCAATCGGTCCTCATTTCACACATTTAAGGCACTGAGCTTCAGAGCGTTTGGCCTAGAGCGAAAAGTTTAGATTTACTCCCATTCCTGTCTCTTTCGAACCTAGGATGCGATGGACTGCCGACCCGTCGGTCATGATCGATCGTTTCGACGCACGTGCGAACCTCGAGCAATATTCAGAGCCAACATCGAAGGAAGTCAAGTAAGGGACTCCGTATTGTCGTGTTACCCTATTGCAGTTTTTTTCTTTGCGGGGAATAATCACTGGCTTATTTGCCTCTTGTTTTACCCCTTTTAGACTGACCACCCTTGAGAAGATAGAAGAACGCCTCTGCAACTACGAAAGATACCGGTGCCTGGTTCAAAACGACTTTCTGGCAGGTGCTATCCCTCACAGTTATTACATTCCTTTTGTCTCCTCAACCTGTTGGAAAACTACTGAACTACCGAGATGGTTTATGTATTTTACATGTTTTGAATCTTGGCGAATTGTCTGTGCTAGAATCACTGCCACACTCCTTTATGAATTAACATCCTATCTATATCTAGATAAAACTCACTCTAGTATCTGATAGGTTGCAGACAATCATTTTTTTTACAAAAATTAGGGGCGACAATTTTCACTTTACTGTCATTGTCCTTCTCGTAAAATGCAGTTACTGAAGCCATGACTCTCAAGCAAATCGAGACGGACGAGAAATTTGGCGATGCCGATGAACGTAAGAAGGTCAAGGAGGAAGAGGAAGAAAAGAAGAAGAAGTGAGTAAAAGAGCAATTTTGTGGCCGTGATTGACTTTTCGTGAAAACCGTCATTGTTACTACAGTTAGCACTACTATTATTTATATGGTAGCACTTTTAATAATGCAAATAACTACATGGAAGTCTAATAGTTTCATGTATTCGTTTAAAAATGTCTGAAAACTTTCGTCTTTTACAATTCCAGTGCACCTCTTTGCGTACTGGATTAACTTGGGGATGAAATCAGTCTGTTATAATGTACCCTGCATCGTCGTTAAATGGTCTTGTATACATTTTTGAGTCGTCAGTTTTCTACTTTATCTTATATAAGCATTACAACGCCGTTTCTTAGACAATTTGGCCATTCAACGTAAACTTAGATATCTATAGGAAGCTAGGTTTGAAACACTTCGTCCCCAAACCTTGCTCTCTCCTCATCCTCCTGCTGCCCAGGTGGCTTTTTGAAGAATTTTACCCCTAATCCATCTCTGCCATCCGTTTTTTTAAGACAACTTGAGGGCAAGGCTGCAATAAACTTTGTGTACGAAGAAAATGAGCCCAGCAGCGGGACTGCCAATCCAGCCGCAGGAGAGTCTTCTGAATCTGAATGTGAAGCTGACAGCGATATGGATATTGGTGAGTGATCGTCCTCCCCCTTTTTTGTTTCTCCCATCCATCACCTTCTCCTATGCTTTGCTACTCCGCCCCTCACCTTCCTCCTCTTCCTCCTCCTCCTCATCAACATCAGCATCCTAATCGTCGTTTTCATCATCAAAATTGTCGTTATCCTTAAATTCAGGATGTTTTTCGTTAGATTATATTTAGTCTCCTGTTTATTAGATGAGCTGTAAGGATTGTCCGGCCATTGAAAGCCAGCTGGGTAATCCCTTGATGTGGAACCAATTAAGTATTCTATTGCGAGTTTTCCTTTATAATCTGAGCTTGGAGTCACTGTCGCAGATATTATCGTCAACTGAATGAGTCCCGGTCCACGTCCGTCCAAAAAATCGGCAGCTGTATATCTGGTCGCCTGCTGCACTCACGCTCATTCCCAATTGTTTTGACTTTTAGTCTTAGCGTAAGGACAGCATGTTTGCCGGAAGAGATAGAGAAAGCGAGGCAAGTGAGTTCCGTTAGCAGTCGGTGAGCGTTCATCAACGAGTGCAAATATTTCTCCATCTAAATCGGAAAGATAACGGGCTCGTAGCGGCTCAGTGGTTGGAACGTTAGACTCTGATCAAAGTGGTCGCGAGTTCGAACTTCGAGTTGTGCACCACTTGGGGTTGGGTATGGCTGGCTGACAGCGGCTAATAAGGTAGAAATTTCCATTCTAGTCTCTCCTGTCTTTACTATCTGCCTAGACGACTAGTCGCTACGGCTGCGCTCAGGGCCGGAGAAACGAGGCCTAAGTGAGTTCTGTTGGCGGTCGGTGAACGTTAGTCAACTAGCTAACTGCTTGTTAATCACTAGAGCGTCCGTTTTGAGTTTTGGAAATGCATCTGCCTGAGAATTTCCAGAGCAAACTATTTTTCTATCGCGCCTTTGTGTCTATATTTCTTTGTGGT